TCCTTAGAATATTCGTCTCGTAAGATCAAATATTTGCCATCGCACTTTTTCCAAATCTGATGGAATTCTGCCTTGAGTACTCCGCCCTTTTCTGTTTTTGTCTCATGATGTCCCCAGAAAAAGATGTAATCTTCCGTCATTTGGTAGTGTTCATCTACAACCTATAATACACGTTTTATTTTATATTTTTCTTCAAAACCGACAGTACCTTCGTGATTGACTTCCCCACTTGATTATCAAAATCCAGAAATTCTTTCTTTATTGCTAAAATCAAAGCAGTAATTACAGTCTAAAAGAATAAAAGCTCTTTCCAACCTTCTTTCCCATAGGTTCCTTTCTTTCCAGTTTCGATAAGGACTGCATCTGGATGGTAAAACTCGATTGCCTAAACATATACAAATTATTTTCAAATTCTCTTTTAAGGAAACGTATGCATACTTTGCTGAATTCAAATTGAAATTTGAGGGGAAAATGCTTCTAAATTACATGCAACTTTGTTACAAGCATTGCCGTCTAAAAGACTATTGGGGTATGCTGCATATAATGAAGGTGTTACGCAGTCTATTCACGTCATCGAATTCTCAACGTGATGCTGTAACCCACCTTGTCGAACCATTGTTGCTCGAAACTTCTGCAGTATTCCTCTAAGAAAGGCTGAAGAGTGGACTTGGCTTCTGCAATGTTAACAGCTTACCAAAGTTTTCCACGAAAAAGCATAAAGTTTTCAACATTTTTTTTCGGATCAGGCAGTTCTAAAAAATTCTCTCGCAATGCTCACTCTTTTAAGATGCATCCGAGAATATGATGGAAAATTGATGTAAAGTCCAACCAGTTCCATTTAAACTAAGTGAACATAAATTAGTGCAACTTCTTCATTTCAAAGCATAAAAAGTCGCACGCAATCATATGACAATCTATTAGGAAATGCAAACTCACTTTCACAGCAGCTCATAATTGCTAGCGTTCAGATTCACTTAAGCAATGTTGTTATTATATATCTCAAGAAAGGGCACATTATTGATTGCAGTTCGGTAACAAAAAACAATAAGAATCGCTATCAATCACAGTTATTAATAGGAACGGAATAGAAAAGTTATAAATGGAAAGTGATTCATTACGCTTGTCACCAATTCTATCGAACAATAATATTATCATGAGTGGGTCAATAAAACAAATAAAATTAGATGAATTTGCTCTCAAAATGATCTTAAAATAAAGCAAGATTTTAAGGCTATTTTTGAGTAACATCTAAAAACTTAGGATATTTTGGTGCTAAAAAAAATAACAGCTCGACAACTATTTCGTAAAATGCTATTAACAGCAGTCAGAACAGCCAATGATTATTTTGCATCAAAAAGAATATCTACGGTAACTGTCACACAATTTTTAAAGTAGTGAGTTTTCTGCTATTGTATCTTTCATGTTGTAATTATTTCTGTCAAAGTTTTTTTAGACATCAAGTTAGAGACTGAAATCCAATGTTTCCTTAATAATATGCAATGCCATGTCAGTTCAAGAAAGTTTGAGGAAAGAGAACATCTTGAATTTATGTCTTTCCTACGTTGTCCAAAGCAGCTGCAAGAAGACAATTGTGGATGGAGGCTTTTATAGTAATGAATCAAAAAAAGAGATAGTGTATTTGCTGACACACTTTTTTCCTAACCGATCAAAGTCAAACTTCGTCCACATCGATGGCATAGGATGATAAGGATAGGCTATTTAGATTGATGATAACGCCTTAAAATTATCGCTTTTGGTAATTTTCAGTATAATTGTTTGTTGGTGATAGGGATGGTGATAGTACAAATTCGAAGTAGATTTTTGCTTCGTTAGCAAAAAGGTTTAAAGTTCCTATGATGTCTATTCAAATTAACAAACTTTTTTGTGTCAAGCATAAATGTCTTCTAGATTTAATTTTGCAAAACGATTTCTG